ATGGCCACGACCACAGTCCATTTGGAATAGGCATCAAGAAGGACCAAGTAGGATATATCATTGATTGAACCAGTATGGTCGATGTGCACACGAGGCCAAGGTTTTTCCGCTACGGACTGACGCTGTTACATCTTGACCGCTGGTTGACATCAGGAGACACGGCGTACCAAATCTTCGATTTTGCTGTCGACACCTAGTCAATAGATGAAGCTGCGCGATTACTTTCATTCTGCAGCTACGAGCATATGTGGAATAGAACTGACGTAGCACAGATTTTTGAAGACAGGCAGGAACAACAACTCAATCTTCAGTCATGAGCCGGCAATCGATGACCGAGGAAAGAGTCCCGACACTGAGATAGCTGTTTGTGCTCTCTAGACAGAACAGTATTAGATGAGCGTGTTTAGACGTAAGTGATAGTTTGACTCAGGATACGGTCGTGCGTAGTTCCACGAAGTATGTGGGCGACGGTAACAGGAAGACTGCGGATATCACTTGCGAGATAATGTCGATGTTCTCATCGACGGCTACAGCGGCTATCACTGTCTTCGTCTGTATTCGAGGGAGGCGCTCCGGGTGGAGACGGAATGCTGCAACTGTCCGGTTGGCTGCATGTGACCACCACGGGCGCTCGTGACGAATCGGGATATCGAACCGAATAGTGGTTTGACAAGGGATGACCAGAGATTCTCGGCGAAAATCGTGATGTCAGAGTTGGTGTCCAGCGGTAATCGGACCGGCTGACCGTTGGTAAAGACCTCACTGCACTTTCTGCGGCACTGACTTGGAATGTAGCCAGCAAACACAGGAAGCTGCCAATCTGACCAGTTTTTGACTTGTTCCTGAATCGGAGCCTCTTATTTTGACTGCCGGTGGAGACCAGACCAGGTTTAACTCCCCTGGTTGACGGATGTTTACCATGGGCATCACGATGTCTCACCCGTTCACATCATTGGCACTGGTGCTGGCTGAAGGTTCAGTCTCGGTTGAAATGCCAGGCACGACAGAGAGGGTGGGGTATTCGCTCTGTTGGGTTGGTTAGGCCACATAGAAGATTGCGGCTTAAACGCTGAGACTTCCTTGATCAGACTACGGGTGGAAGCGCCCTGGATCATCGTGAAGACGTAATTCAAGTTAATCAGCTTTTAACACTCTTCGGTCAGTTTCTGTGCCGTAATCGTATTGTCCTGATGCATCTTGGCTAGGCGATGCTTTCGGATAACAGTTTCTTGGACAGACTGTAAGTAAGAGATGAAGACCAGGCATTTGAACTGCTGCTCAGTGAGCGACCCAAGCTGAACTCGTTCGAATTCCTGACTGACGACACCGGTGTACGTGACAAAGTCGTCCGCATCACCTTTGGCCAGCTGGAGACACTGAATTGGTGTGTTGTACGATGATGGTTACCCGCCAAATATCTGTGACGGCCTTCGGACCGTCTCAGGGGTTCTTTGGCAAAGCGAAGTTGGTGTAGCGTTGATGCTCCACAATGCCCACTTTGTGAAGACAACCAGATGTTTCACGCATCATCCAGGTAATCCAAATCGACCGTGAATAGTTCTTTGTACCGCTTATCCCAAGAATCGAATGTGATGTGGGAACCGGGATCGTATAGTGTAAGGTAGTACCGTTAACATGTAACGCACGCTTCCGAGATACCTAATCCCAACAAGCAGAAGACCTCTGAACCGCAGGAGGTTTATCAATCAGTTGAGGAAGGTACAAGACTACCAGAAACTCGCGTTGCGAGACCGCGGGCGTGTGTCAGATGAGTGACTGGTTGGTGTGAGTGGTAACCAATCCGCGCACAGCTGTAGTAAACGGATCGAAGTCATTCGCGTACGTGACATCCCCTTATCTCTTGAAATGTTTATACTCCTGGCACAAAACAGTCATTTGGTTTATGCGTACGCTGAGATCTACGAAGCGATGGTGCATCTGACGATTGTACAGAATCCTTGGGGGTTGCTTCCGTTTCCGGCTGAACCGAAGCTGATTCACCCAGATGTTCATCTGCTGTTGTCCCAACACAACGTGAGCGCATGTGGTCTGAGGGTCGCCGTATTATCCGACCATTTAATTCGAGATCTGCTTGGGTACAGTCACCTTCAATCACAGTTGCGGGTTGCCAGCAGCGCTCATGGGGAAGTCGTGTGTATACGGGATCACCCGGCTGCCAACTAGAGTCTTGGTCAGCTTGCGATGCGGCAGCCTTGTCTTGTTTCCTCTCCATTTATGCTCTATGATTTGGAAACAGAAGATCCAGTCTGATACGGAATGTTCGGCCAAACATCATCTCTGCAGGTGATTTACCAGTGGCTTCCGTTGGCGTTATCCTGTAAGCAAACAGCAAACGATCTAACCTCGTCTGAACACTTTCTGGTTCTTATTTCAAGAGACCTCTTTTAATTATCTGCACCACCTTTTACGCTAACCCATTAGAAGTATGGTGATATGGAGCTGTACGGACGTTCTAGACACCATTGCTATTTATGATGATTTCAAATTCTTTGCTTGTGAAACATGGCCAATTATCTGTGCAGAGTATCTACGGTATCCCAAATATGGCAAATGATGACCGCATTTTTGAGATAGTTGTCTCTGTAGTAGGGGAAAAAGGGATAAACATCTATCCATTTCGAATGAACGCCACTTAACAGCATGGAAAATACACCATTAATGGGTCCAAAGTAGTCCGCATGGCTGCACTGCCATGGCTCTTTAGGCCAACGCCGATTGTGTACCGAACCGGGAGATTTATTTGACTGAATCTAGGCCAGGGCACTCACAATAACCGTGCGCCAAGGCTTTCATTCGGGCCACACCCGGATGTGTGTTGTGGAGTTCGTTTAGGATGAACGGCCATGCCTTTAGCGGTGGAACCAGGCGGGATACCCAAAACAAGCATCCATCGTGAAGGCTTAATTCATTTCTCCGTTGTCCGTATGGCTTAAGATCGACAGGAATTGTAGTAGGGCAGCCGGTTTTTGTAAATCGTACTATAGAAGATAGCGTTGGGTCAGAATCGGTCCACTGACGTATGGTGTCATCTGTCAATTGAGTGGTGTCGAGGTGTTGCATTAAATGTACTAGGTCTACTGGTTCCTCCAGTATTCCGTCTGGGGTCGCATGTGGTAACTTGTTTAACGCATCCGCTGTATGAATGTTCAATTCAGGAATATAGGAGATTCGATATTAATATGTACTTAATGCCCAACGTTGTATTCTCGATGAAAGCATATGCTCGATTCGCTTTGACTCGCTCAGCAAGGAGTATCAAAATCAGACCTGACCTTACCGTGGTGCGATGGTTTGTGTACCTCAGTGATCCATTGAGCTATACTGGGTGGTGCATTTTTCCACCTTCGGAGTCACTCATACCAGATTGGTCAATGGTTAGAGGCCAGACAAACTCAGCCTCCTGGTCCTCCAGGTTGGGGGTTGGTATGAGGGTAACTCCTTATTCCTTAAAACGGACTCCTTGTAGCCCAGTGCCAAACCCGCTGCATTGCGGTCAGGTTTTGGAACCAAGGGATTTGGTTGAGAACCCTAATCGTTCTCCTGTCTAGGCCTGGGCAACCTGACAGTATCCTGCCAACGCAAATCTATGAATCTGTCCAATTCACCGTGTTGCGCGGGAACTCCAGTCTTCGTTCGCCTAACCGGCGCATGGCAACGCACGTGATGTCTGCCGCGTGATTTCTTCAGCTTCCGGTTTGGCCTTGGCAACACGCCTGGTGTCTGATCAGATTTCGGCTGGGCCCTGGTAACACGCTCGTAGAGTTCATCCCAAGCACGATTGGTGGTAAAAGCGCGAGCGTGGCTCTCCGATTTCTCGCCGAGCTGTCAAACTCAATGGTCGATGTTGGTGTGCAGTGTAGAGCGGTGATGTTGCGTGGGTTTGACGCGTGCGATGTGTTCGAAAACGGTTGGTTTGTTGAAATTGTTTGCGTCGTACGTGTTTGTGTGTCATTTTGTGTCGGTGTGGTACGTGTGTGGATGCTTGTGATCTTGGTTGTTGGTGTGTATTTGGAAGCTTGCTTGATTGGGATTTGTTGCTAGTGTGAATTGTTCCGGGAAGCAACAGTGCGCTAGTGGCGTTCTGATTCGTCGTGCGGAACGAAATAGAAGTCATCGTTGGGTGTGATGGGCCATTGGGTCTGATCTCAATAGCGTATATGCGACAGACGGTTAACGGATGTGTTGGTGTGTTTAGTGTTGCCATTGGTTTTAGACTGCGTAGTGTTGTGTGGTGAGTTGGTTGTGCTGCTCATTATGTGTGTGTTGTTGGCTGTGTGAGTTGGAATGTATGTTGGCGCGTGAGAAATGTTGTGGCAATGTTTCCGCTTCGAGTGTGCTTGTGTGAGGTGGTGGCAGATGTCGTTGTGTTGGTGTTAGTACGTGGTGTAGTTGTCGATGAAGAGTTGTGCCGATCGCAGTTCGATTGTGCTGTGTTCTTGGTGAGTGGTGCGGAAAGTGGTGTTATCGTTGCTGGGCAGGCTGTTGGTTGGATGTTTCACGTGGTGGCAGACGCGTGTGAATTAAATTATGTTGCGGAGTGTGCAGGTATTAAGTCGTTTGTCTCCGTTGTGTCAGTGTTTGTGACCGGTGTGTTGTATGTGCAGGTGTTTGGTGACCGGAATGGGAATGATCAGAGTGTGAGGTAGGCGGAATTTGTTGTGACGGTGTTGGGGAAAGTATGTTGCGGCGTGTTTATTGGTTAGTTAGAGTGTTTCAGTGTACTGTTGGTGGGCCCTGGTTGGGTGCCATTTGTGTGTGCGTATGTATCAGGTCAGGTCAGGTCAAAATCCGTGGACGATACAGGCTTCCGCCTAACGAGCGTCCAGCTTCTTGTACCGGTAAGCGAACCAGAGCCCCCGGCACTTCGACTTTTGATCGCCTCTCCTTGCCTCTGCAAAAAGAAATGAAGCAAAAGCGAGAGCAATCTTTGCTTTTACAAGGATCAACATCAAGTAACAATGCGAATAAATTGGATAGGATTATATTAATTCCGGAAAAATACGCGGCCAGCACCTGTCTAGGCCTGCTTTGAAGGCAACCACAGTCTCACAATCCATTAGTTCCGAAGGCAACTTATTCCAGTTGCGCACTACACGATTTGAGAAGAACTTAGCCCTGACGTTCAGTCTAGCTCTCTGTTGTTTGAGCTTCAAGCGATGTCCACGCAAGCATTCAGAATCAGTCAGCTCAAATAAATCAGAGGGCACGATGGCACTGAAGCCCTTCATGATCTTAAATGTTTCTATCAGATCGCCTCTCAGTCTACGCCGTTCAAGGGAAAACAACCCCAGGCTCTTTAGGCGATCTTCATACGGCTTCCCCCGTTGACCTTCAACCATCCTGGTTGCTAGTCTTTGAATCTTCTCCAGGCAAAGAACATCATCACGGAGATAGGGCGACCAAGCTTGAACACAATACTCTAAGTGTGGCCTAACCACTGCTTTGTATAGTGGCAGGAACACTTCTGGCTTGGTATTACACAGAGCCCTCCTGAGGCGAAACAATTCTCGTCGCGCTTTGTTGGCGGCGTATCGACATTGCATCGAAGGCTTGAAGCTGCTCGTCATAATGAATCCTAAATCGCGTGCCTGGGTAGTGCATTGTAAGGGGAAGGGCCCAAAGGAAGTCTGAACTGCAAGTACGTCTCTACTAGTGGTCAGAATTTGGCACTTGCTTGCATTCAAGGGCAAGTCCCATTGCTTCGACCAGTTTGCCACACTGATGATATCCTTGGCCAGTGTTGCACGGTTACCCCTGCTGACTAGCTTCAAGTCATCCGCAAAGATGTAACAGGGGTCTTCAATAAGAGGAGCCAAGTCGTTTATAAACATAAGAAACAAAATTGGACCTAGCACCGATCCTTGGGGTACTCCACTGTAGGCCACGCCCACACTAGAACTCACATCACCGATTCTAACTCGAAACGTTCTCCCACATAAGAATTCTGACACCCAAGACAGAAGTCTAGGATGTACTCCGAACCATGCTAATTTTTCAAGTAGGAAACGGTGATTTATTGAGTCGAAAGCCTTGCTAAAGTCAAGATAGCAGACCTCTACCGGAATCCCGTCGTCAAGACATCGAGTAATCTCATCGAGGAAGCACAGTAGATTAGTGAGGCACGACTTCTTTTTAATGAAACCATGCTGCTCTGCTCTAAGTAGATTGTGTTCCGCCAAATGCTCACAAATCCGGTTTCTTATAAGCTTCTCTAAACACTTGAGCAGAACACAGGTTAGACTGATGGGTCTGTAGTTAAGGGGCTCCGATTTGGAGCCACCCTTGTGAATTGCAACTATGGCTGCTTCCTTCCAGTCTCGTGGCAACTTGCATTCCTGGAGCGACAAGTTGAACAGCTCCAGAACAGGATGTTGAAGGATGTCAGCTAGTGGCTTGACTATTGCCGGATGTACATCGTCAGGACCGGCTGATTTGAAGGGATTCAAGTTAGTCATCACAGTAAAGACCTCTTGCGCAGTCAGCACAATGTCCTGCATTATATAACTGCTGACACAGTGTGGCTGCGATGGTGCAGCACATCCATTGTCCCTCCTATGCAGATTCTGAAAGACTCTTAGCAGCATTTCAGCTTTATTTCTGGCTTCCACAGCCTGGCTGCCATCTTCCATATTTAGACACCCAACGTCCTCTCTTAGGGAGGCTTTAGACTGAACATAGCCGTAGTAACACTTTGGATTTGTTTTCGCATACCGAGCCAGCCGAAGCTCATAAGAGTATTTAGCCTGCCGTTGCATCTTGATAGCCGTATTCCGGCTTTTTGTGTACTGTAGCCATCGTCGAATGCCCCTGGCCTCAGTGAATTTTTTCCACTTCTCATTTCGTCTCTTTAGAGCTCTATCAATTCTCCTCCTCCACCATCGAGGCCTGCTGAAATGTCTCGCAGGACGAAGAGGAGCAAACTCATTCAATAGTTGTACTAAACCAGTTTTAAGCACAGACCACCTTTGTTCCAAAGATGCCTGTTCCTGGTCAGGGATCCAATTGACCTGGAGGGCTCTATCCCTCAATTTCATATGGTCGATGCGGCTGAAATTTCTCACGAGGCAAGGATGTCGTGCAGGCTTCAAGGTATTTAGGCAGAAAGTGAGGACGCAGTGATCACTCCTACCTAAAGGTGCTTCCACTTGTAGCTCTGCGAAACGACCGTGTTTGGTGATGGCAGCATCCAACGTGGAGGGGGCACTCCCGATTCGGCTCCTGGTCGGTATATTGATGTATTGTTCAAGTGCATTCTCATGCATCCAGTCAACCAGTTCCTGTTCCAATGTATCCGCTCTGTTTGCGGTGCCTTGCCAATCCGCATGAGGAAGGTTTAGATCACCAACTATTAGGAAATTAGGCGCAGCAACCACTGCGCGCCTCAATAATGCACCGAGCTCTTTGTCCTCCTCTCGTGTGGACGATGGACTGCGGTAGACACATATAAAGATCTCCAACCTGCCCATCATCCTTAAGTAACAAGACACCACCTGAACGTTCGTATTACTCATCATAAACGGAGCCTCCCAATGACTATACTGGCGCTTTATAAGCAATAGTGCTCCCCCGCCAGTGTGGTGATCAGGCCTATCTACTCGGTAACTCACGAAATCTACCAGCAGGTCGCTAACCATGTCGCTCGGAGAAATCCATGTCTCTGTCAAGGCAACAACATCAGCACATCCGCAGCGCCTCACCATCTCTCCCCATTTGTTCCTCACACTGCAGCAATTGGTATACCATACAATTAGTCCTGCTTGACGCGGTTGTTTCCCCTCGGGCGCAGCACCCGAGGGGACAACCCGTTTTTTGACACCGCGTCATTATCGCTCGCCGCCTGCAATGCTGGGTCAAGATTAGGCTCATGTAGGTCAACACGAGCAGAAACCTTGTCAGGTTCCGTCCGACTTGAGTTGTTTCGTATACGACCAACTTGCTTCTTTTTCTTTAACTTAGAAGGTCTAGCAACGCTGCCTTCCGAATTTCCTGCAAGGTCAGCCTTGAGAGGTTCACAGCGCTGGTTTCCCAAACCAATCAGCGAGATGCACGTAGTGTCCTTGAGTTCCGAAGCAGCTGACATTATGCGAGCGGCATCAAATAGTCCTGGATGCGCCACCTGTAAGTTCATGTCCGCAACCCCGCAACTTTCCCCGGGTAACAAGTTGGAAGTCGTACTTCCGTTCAGTGAAACTTTGGTCGTTGTCACATGTAACTCGCGACTTATTCCCTTTGCAACCTGCATTGTTTGAGGACTCGAGCAGACAACTGCCGCTGTGGTAGGAGTGCAGTCCCACCCAGTTCCTTTTGGTGTGATCGTGGCATGTTGCTGACTGACTCTGACCCCAGCGGCCGGAGATGCAGGGTATACAATCAATCGGCTGTAAGTACCTCCGGGTGAACTAACTTGTGAGGAAGCACCTTTCGCGGTACCTGCATCTGATACTGAATTTGTGGTGTGGTAGTTCGAAGGAACGACCTCCGCTGCAGTGGGACAATCATCCCTGGTAGGCACTGATGCAACGCGGGGACCACGTAAAGGAGCACCCTTAACCAAGGTCGCAGACACGCCAGCCAAGCGGTTATTAGTATCTTCCGACTGACATACCCGCGGGACCTTGGCATGTGAGCTAAGTGTGTCCGGGGTCACCTGATACCGGCCATTAGTCTGACTCTCGATTAAGCCGGCTCGGTTAAGCATTTGGTCACGATAAACAGGGTTCCTAAATTCAACCAGAATCGGCCTAGCAAATCCTTGCTGACGCAGTGGACCAGTCTCTCTCCAGCTACCTACACGATGCACCCTTTTGATACCGACGTTTAAAGGTATCCCGGCTATGCGGAGGATGTCGTGTATTCGTCTCCTGTCCAGGTCTCGTCGAGCCTTTGCCTCGTGTATCACCGGCTCCTCCCGATTGTAGATAAGAACATTTCTTTGCCTGCCCATGGCAATCTCCGCACTCTGAGCGTAACTATTTAAAGAATCGCGCAACTCGTCAATCTTCACTCGCAGTGCATCTGTGAGCAAAGCCTGGTCACTGATCACTTTTTCTGCGGTGGAGAGCCGCTGCAGATACTTCGCGTCAGCTACCCTCTGAACATCAGGCAACTGTGGAGGAGCATCAAGCCGCTCGCGTAATAAGCGAGCACAAGTATCAGCTAGGCACACACAGTGAAAACAGATCCACTTCAGTTGGGGATGCTGGGTGTACAGATCAATGGACGAACGGTCTAACCTATAGCAGGTGCTATGATACCATAATAAACATCGGTCACACTGTATGCCTTCCGTGACTGCAGTGCCACAACTGTGCTCGCCACATTTATCGTTAGTATCAAAAGCCATAGTTATTTGGAAGGTGGAACCAAGAATAAGCAAAAAGCGAAACGAGCAAGCAGATGCAGGAGAAAACAGCAAAGAACAAACTCACGGAAGACAAGAAGCCTTTGGGACGGGTAGGTTCAAGTATGCAGCAGCAAAGATAGCAGCCCAAAAGTCGAAAGCCCTGGTTCACTTGCTGGTAGAAGGGCTAGATGTGGAAAGGCGGACCGTAGCGACGTCAGGCAGGATTTGGTTGTGACTGGAATACGAGCCAGGCGATTCAAAGTCGAGTCAGTCAGGAAAAGTGCTACAGCAGACTGCAGTATCTTGATGCCACAAAGCAAAAACGCCAGATCCAATGTAGCAGTCAGCTTTTAGCAGCAGTAGAAAATAAAGTTCAAGTTTAATTTTGTGTCATATGTATGATTTGGCACGAAGCTGATGGTGTACAAATCCATGGTGCTGTCCGTGCTTCCATACGGCAGTGAAACGTGGACTATGTACCGTCGGGATTTGCGATATCTCGAGCGGTTCCATCAGCAGTGTCTGCAACTGATTTTGCGCATCGGCGCGTGCGACAGAGTTGCAGACACGGAAGTTTTGTGCCGAAGTTGGATGTATGCAGTGGACTGCATACTTTTATTGAGACACCTGAGGTGGATCGGTCATGTGAGCCGTATGGATTCGACGCGGATACCAAAGCAGGTAGTATATGGTCAGCTGAGTATTAGGAAGCGGCACGTTGGGAAACCAAAGTTACAATACCAGCACATGATTAAAGTGAGCCTCACACGTTCTAATCTTGATTGCAGATCATGGGAATCGAAGGCGGTTGATCGACGTGCATGGCGCGATCTGATCACGCAGGCAGTTTCCGAGGTGCAGGAGAATGTCCTCGTGCATGCAGAGAAGAAGCGGCAAGTGCGGAAGCGGCAAGCACCGGTGGGTTGTTCAGAATGTGAGGGTTAGTGGGAGGTACGCGGAATAAGTTGTGACGGTGGTGGGGAAAGTATGTTGCGGCGGTTTTATTAGTTAGTTAGAGTGTTTCAGTGGATTGTTGGTGGGCCCTGGTTGGGTACCATTTGTGCGCGTATGTATTTGTGTCATATTGTAGAGGGGCCGCTTCCAAGAATGCCTAGGGGGAGCTCTTCGGAGCTAGCTGAGAGCGGATCGAGAAGGACGGCTAGCGACGAGCCTGGGCCCGGAACTACGGAGCGGGAAGATGTGGACAGCGCAGTAAATCAGGCATATACGCCGCTAGCGCAGCCCACAGGACCGAGCCGATTGACACAGCCAAGAACAAGCAAGTCGAGAGCTCTCGAAGGACTCCTGGCCGATCCAAATCGGGTACAGAGAAGTGGAGATCGAGGCAAAAACAGGAAGGCGAGACTTCCAAGTCAGAGCTCCCGAGGCGAAAGGACTGGCTCGTCTCTAACATCCGTACCTGTGTTGCGTTGTGGGACGGAAATCTGGTCGATATTCGATGGCGCGCGTGAGACCCTGGTGTGCCCATTTTCGGTGTGCAATAAACGTCTACCCCCTGTCAAGTCGTTCTCGCTACAATATGTATGTACACTTAATCTAGATCTTTTTAATGTGGATAAAATTCATTACATGTTATTTGGTTTGTTCTGCGTACTTGATAATCTTCTCCTTACTTGCACACGTCGCTCACGCAAATTGTGGTAAACTTGCGTAATTTTATCGCGTGGTATTTTTTAACTAACTTTCGGACATTTTGTAATTATCACGGATGATTCACTTATAACCAATTTCTTCTATATGCTCATTTAGCGAGTATTTATGTCATCATATGCGTTTACTTTAATCGATATCGGCATTTCAAATGATTGGCTGTTGTTTGACATCCCAGGTGTGGCTGCGCTTGATGTGCATGTTGACAAGGTGCCTACCTGTCTATTACCCACTACCTCGTCCATACTGTCTCCAGGAGACAGTTGATCGTTGCTGGAGGGGACGGGGTGCACGGTCCTTGTGGCCGTGTTAGGCTCGAAGAGTGGTTCCATGCACTCAGTGTGGAGCGGACTACGGTCCAGCCACCGCCTTGTGTGCGCTTGATTCCCCAAATACAGCGTGTTTGTGTTTGTCTGTGAAGGAGTGTGGGCCGGCTCCGTTGATGAAACGTGGCTCCCATCCGCATGCCTCCCGGTCTTATTCCTTCGGGTTTACACTGGATATGGGGATGTGGTTGGAGCTGTGGGTGGTGCAGCGCAGGCCATCCATGGTCATGGTCCCTCTGTAGGCGCAGGCGTTCTGTGGCTGACCACAGTGACAGGCAAATCCGAAACTGGATGCCGCCAACCACCATATGTATGATCTAACTGAATGGTCTATGTTGGTGTGCAGTGTAGAGCGGTGATGTTGCGTGGGTTTGACGCGTACACTGTGTTTGAAAAACGGTTGGTTTGTTGGAGAGAGAACGAGCACTGCAACGATTTCACGCAGCCAGATGGGAGGAACAGGAGGATTTGATGGTGTTTTTCCAGCAGCTGGACAGACATCTAACGATTGGGCTCCCCGAGTTAGAGGGCAACGCAAGAGAGCGCCTACTGAAACAGCAGTTTATCCGAAGTCTGCCCGATCCACTCCGTGATCAGGTGAAATTGGCGTCGATGGTGGGAGACAGCAAGGCGTTGGATCTGGTGACGGTCGCCCAGAATTTGTCGGAACGAGTGACAGTGAGAAGCATCCAGCATGCTGTGTTGGAACAGAAAGTAAATCGCCTATCCGAAATGGTGGAGCAGCTGTTGTCGATAGAGTCTTCAAGCACCACTTCACAACGCAATGTACGGGTTATCCGGAACGGTCGTCGCTGTTTCCGATGCAACCAGAGCGGTCATGGGGCGAGATTCTGCACCAACGTCAATGTGCCCCATTGTTTCTCTCTATCCATGCCGAGTCGGTGGCGAGTACCAGTCCTCCAGGTAACTATAGAAGGTGTGTCTGTCCGAGCCATAGTAGACACAGGAGTGGCAGTGTCAATTACGAAGAGGTTCAACGGGGTTCCAGTAAACCCATCTTCAGTCACGATGCAGACGGTCGGCGGGCATTCTTTGAAAGTGACGGGCACGCAGCGGTTACGAATCAGGATAGGAGAAACGCTCATCCACCATGACATGTTCATCGTGGAGGAGACGACCGAAACCATCATCGGAACCGACATCCTGAAGCGGCTCGGTGTCACAATTGACCTGAAAAACGATGTGGTGATCGTGGCTAACGATACGATCGAGATAAACAAGGGGAGAACCGACCGGGTGGGTGCCCTCAAAGCCGTGCCTGATTGCCAGAACCGGGCAATACGCAACGTACTGAGCAGGTATGCCCACTTATTCACAGACGCGGAAGATGATTACCGATTTTACAATTGGGTTGAACACCGAATACCATTGATCCCAGGAGGAAAATGCAAGCCAATCTTCAGACGAATTCTACAGAACACCCTGGTTGAGATACAGAAGCAGGTGACCGAGATGGAATCGAAAGGAATCATCAGGCGAACGCACAGCCCGTATTCATCACCCGTGCTATTGACGAAGAAGGCCGAAGGAACCTATCGATTTTGCATCGATTTCAGAGAACTAAACAGGGTGACTGTGAAGGATGCATTCCCGATGTCTCAGATGGAAGAAATTTTCTCAAGCCTTCACAGTGCGAAGCAGATATCTCTGATTGATCTCCGCTCGGGATATTGGCAACTGCCGATCGCAGAAGAAGATCGCTACAAGACGGCTTTCAGTGTCAATGGCCAGCAGTATGAGTTTTTGAGAATGCCGTTTGGATTGTGCAACGCCCCAGCTACATTCAGGCGTTTGTTGCTGATGGTCCTGGCGAACCTGCAAGGCGTGGTTGTTTATGGTGATGACATCATCGTCTTCTCTGAGACGGAACAGGAACATGTGACCAGACTTGGAGCAGTACTGCAGAGACTGGACGAAGCTGGTCTGAAACTCAGTCGTAAAAAGTCGCAGATTGCCCAAAAGTCAATTGTATGCTTGGGTCACATCGTGGGCAATGGTCAAGTCCATCCACTTCTGGAGAAACGCGAGACAATCGAGTGCTTCGCAAAACCAAAATCCAAGCGTCAGCTCCGTTCGTTCTTGGGAGTGGTGGCATATGATTCAAAGTTTGTGCCCCAGTTCGCAGAGAAGGTCAGCCCGTTGTTAAAGCTGCTTCGCAAGGACGTGCCGTTCGTGTGGACAGCTGAAGCGGATCAAGCCTTTGACCATCTAAAGGCATGCATAGCAGAAGCCCCGACATGTCTACGGCTACCCAATCCTGGTGAGAGGTTCACTGTGGCTGTCGACGCAAGCAACGTGGCAATCGGTGCGGTTTTGTCTCAACCGGCTGGGGTGGTGGAGTACGCGAGCAGAGTGCTGACGGGGGCGGAACAGAAGTATTCAACAACGGAGAAAGAATGCTTGGCCATCGTGTGGGCGTTAGAGAAGTGGAGAAATTACTTACTGGCGAAGGAATTCCGGATCGTCACTGACCACAAACCGCTCTCGTGGTTGATGATGGCGAAAGACCCGCGGGGACGGCTTGCGCGATGGGCCTACCGATTGCAGGAATTCAACTTCACCATTGAGCACGTGGATGGAACGCAGAATGTATTGCCAGATATGTTGTCACGCCTGTGTTTGGACGACATCATGCCAGACAATGCCATACCGGTGCGTGCGATCGCGATGGGGGAGAGCAACCAGCTGGGAGATCAAAGGACAGATGAATTCGTGAATGTGTTGTGCTCTCACTTACAGGCTGGCACCAAACCGGAGGCCACATCGGAAGAGGTGGAGGAACTTCTCAAGATCTGGGACAGGTTGAAGGTCGAAAACGATAATGTGGCGGTGGCGATAGACGGACGGAAAGTGCCTTTTGTTCCACCAACTCAGCGAGAACGTGTGATGCGTATAACTCATGATGGCGCCCATATGGGATTCGAGCGGGTCTTTGAATTGCTGCGGAGGCGAGTGTTTTGGCCAACCATGAGGAAGGACGTCGCGACATACATTCGGGGGTGCCAAAACTGCCAAACGAGTCGGGAGATGGAGTCCCCGAGACCGCCGACGCGATCGATGGAGGTTGGTGAGCCACTTCAGTGTTGGGGACTGAACGTCTTTGGGCCCTTACCAGTGAGTCGAACAGGAAACAGATACATTCTAGTGATGATTGACCACTTCACTCGATGGGTGGAAGCCATACTCATCAAGGACCAAACAGGCGAGACAGTGTCGC